AGATCAGCTCTGGGTGATAGTCGAGTGTGTGATGCCAGTGTGTGCAGGAGAAAGAAGGAGTGTGTGTTTTGCAGGGTGCTCTCTCTCTCTCTCTCTCTCTCTCACACACACACACACACACTAACACTACCAGTGGAGGATTGTCCTAGATTTCCCGCTCACCGTGATTTCTCTCTCTCCATCATCGCAGGGCCGTTTAAAGGAATACACTCGTGTGCAAAAGTTTGTGCGCCTGTGATCAAAAGACATGATTTGTTGATTTTCTGAGCAAAAATAAGTTCACACGTCCACTACAGAGAACACACCTGCATGTTTTGCAGAGAATAACGTTAATTTGCTTAATTTAACGTAATTTTTTGACAAAATAGACTTTTTCATACAGCTGCAGTTTGATGAAAGTCAACTCAAGTCGCCTTTATTTATATAGCACATTTAAAAGAAGGCGTCAGTCAAAGTGCTGCACTTTATTGTGCAAGTAAAACCATAGAAATCCAACAAAGTAAAAAGAAGAAAAGGAGATTAAAATATCACCATCAGTGAGAGTGTTTACGTGCGCTTAATAATCCGATAACTGCAGAAAATCAGATTTTGTCAGTAATCCGATCAACGTGTTTACTTCAGTAATCAGATAATGGGAAACTCCGGGTCTACATGAGTCAGGCAGTAATCGGATTTCTGCTTTGCAACCAGCCAATAAAATAAAACGAAATGCATATAAAAAATGAAAATGCGTGTAAGATAAATTATGTTTTAATCATCATTTTGACACAACTTGCAAAATCACATTAAGCGTAAATACGCTGTTTTGGACATTTTAATTTAAATATACCTGCTCATAAAGTATCTAAATCTTTGTGTAAATGAAATGTCAAAACTAAACCAAATGGAGAATTAAAATCGCAGTATTTGAATTTTCATTTTGAGCTCAACATTGCGTAGATGAGCAGGAAATTTAAATGCAAACATATGAATACACTGCCATTTTACATAGTTTCGATACTGATGTACTTCCGTAAGTTGGAAAATGATCATGTAAAAATGATTGTGTTTGGTTCATAAACCCAGACGTATGTTAAAAGGGCACATCAGAGGAAAAGAAAAAAGAAAATGTAATGTATGGTCCTTTTAAAGTAAGTGATCTGCCACTGGAATAAGACCATTTCACTTAATAAAAGTACTTAAAACAAGTCTGAAAATAACATAAATACTCATAATATTCACTACCACTTTAAAAATAAGACTATGCTTATAAATTGTTCATGAATGGTTTCAAATGAGTTTATTCATGGTTATTAATTACGTCTTAAAGATCTTAAAATTGTTTAGAAGCAACAACAACACATAAACAAAAAGGGCACCAGTGACCTGTTGTTTGCCTAATAGTGAACCCATATGGATTTAGTTAAACCTCAGATTTTGATCTTTACTGATCTTACTTTGACTTCTTCACCAGTCAGCATTAAACCTGTCAGCTTCACCACATATTCATATTTATTGGATATAACAGCTGCCTTTTGCCCTTTTCGTTAGTTTGTTGTAACGGCTTATTAATAATTAGTGAAGTGTTTATGATCTAACCAATAACCATTTTTATAAAATGGATAGTTCTGGTCCTAAAATCTGATTGGCTGAGCCGTGTTCAAAGCCATTGTAAAATCCACAATATACGCACACCTATGACCGCCTCACAATAACTGAACTCTGTATTACTGTATTACTCTGTATTACTGCGCCACGAAAAACTCTTATGTTGTTAATGCAATAATCTTTGACTGTCATGCTGCTCACATGGACCACCGAGTATACTGATGAAGAACCCATTTTCTGTTTAAACTGAGGGGCTGACAACTTATGTTCTTAACTAGAACTAGTCTGGTCAGCTAGCTAACAGGCTAAAAGAGAGCAAATAGCCTAAACAATTCCATCATTAATATCACAGGCTTGAATTAAAGTACTTATGGTGCGATTAACTGTAAAACGACAGTATAAAAATCTGAACAATGTCACTTCAATGACTTACACGATTCAAATGTTGGTGTTTCAGTCAGTAGTCGTGTCAAACTCAGGCTGAATCCCAAACAACTCCGTACTCCCTAAATAGTGGTCTAGCTATGAAAGTTTGGAAATTGTAGCCTTTACAGCCAAATACTGCATCATTTATCGAGTGTGGATGTGTCTGAATCCCAAATAACTATTTCTTAGCTGTATTATTCACTGTTGGGCTGCAAGATCCAGTATTTAAACTCCTATGTAGTGAACTATGTAGGGAGCAGGGAGCCATTTGAGATTCAGCCCCAGCGTGAGAAGAGGGCACCACTGGATTGGTGCTAAATAAGACTCACCGTGGTAATTTGGTGACCAAAAAGCACTTATAAAGCGAAATGTTTGCATTAAACAATGCTGTGTTATCATATGTACATCATATTGACCGCAATATACAGCGATGGGCGACCGAACGTTCTCCTCATTCAGTGGTTGCCAGTGATACCGTACTCTAAAGGAGCTACATTTCTTGGCGGAATACTTGTTGATGTCGATTATTATTAATAATAACTTAAATTATTTTCTGAAAAAAGAGTATTTTATCATATTTCATGTTGTCCACCATTTCTTAAAAGCAATAAGCCACTTATGGCCATGCTTTACCGCGACTGGAGGATCGCAGTAACCCACGGCCTCTCGTGGCTTATTGCTTTAATAAACCATTTATAAACGCTTTATAAGGGTGGTCTTATTCTAAAGTGGTACCTAATATTGTTACAACAATCTCATGATGAGAAATTTAGACTATATTGACTCAGATTTGGGTGATTTTATCTGCCAAGATGTTTTTTTTCCCAAAGAAATCAAACTTCCGACCCTAAACATGTCCAGGCTGATGGACTGCGTTTGGGAAGAATTGGGAAAATTGTGTAAATTTGATTTTCCACTGAGCGAGGCACGACACCCAGTGGAGCATGACTCATTCAGCCAGGGGGATGCTGGGAAAAGTGGGATTGGAGCGTTTGGGCACTTTGGACTGGGCATCTGCTCACGAGGGCTGTTTACGACGCCTCTGTTGCTCTTTTTTCTCGTCTGTCTTCCCTCCTTCCTCTCTGGCTTCTTCTCCCCTCTCCGCTCTGTTTCTCTCCTCCGTGCGTGTTCTACTCCATCCCTCCCACTCCCTCTCTCCTCACATCCATCACACTGCTCACTCACCCGCCTCGCTCGGCCCCCTGAACCCGTCACTCTCTCTCTTCTCCTTTAACACTCTCCCCATTTCTCACCCTGCCACTTTCTCCTTTCACTCTACGCTCCGTCTCCCCTCGCTCTCGCTCCGTGTCATTCTCTCTCATTTTACCTCTCTACTCTCTCTCTACCTCGTTTCCACTCTCATTATCGCTCTCTCTCTTTCTTTCTCTCATTCTCACTTTCCCATGCACTCCCTCTCTCTCCTTTCTTCTCTCTTATTCTCTTTCTCGCTCTCTTCTCTCATTCACTCTTCCTCTTTTCTAATTAACTCAGCTGCTCTTTCCTTCTCTCTCCCCTCCTTCTTTCCTCTTTCTCTCCCTCTATGCTTTCTTATTCTCCCTCTCTTTCTCTCTCTCCTTCTTCTCTACGTCTGTACTCTTTTGTTCACTCTCTCTCCTCTTTCTTTTCGTCTGTACCCTCTTGTTCACTCTTTCCTTCTCTCCGTCTGTACCCTCTTGTTCACTCTCTCTCCTCTTTCTTTTCGTCTGTACCCTCTTGTTCACTCTCTCTCCTTCTTCTCTCCGTCTGTACCCTCTTGTTCACTCTCTCTCCTCTTTCTCTCCGTCTTTACCCTCTTGTTCACTCTCTCTCCTCTTTCTCTCCGTCTGTACTCTCTTGTTCACTCTCTCTCCTCTTTCTCTCCATCTGTACCCTCTCGTTCACTCTCTCTCCTCTTTCTCTCCCTCTGTACCCTCTTGTTCACTCTCTCTCCTCTTTCTCTCCCTCTGTACCCTCTTGTTCACTCTCTCTCCTCTTTCTCTCCATCTGTACCCTCTTGTTCACTCTCTCTCCTCTTTCTCTCCGTCTGTACTCTCTTGTTCACTCTCCTCTTTCTCTCCCTCTGTACTCTCTTGTTCACTCTCTCTCCTCTTTCTCTCCATCTTTACTCTCTTGTTCACTCTCTCCTCTTTCTCTCCATCTGTACCCTCTTGTTCACTCTCTCTCCTCTTTCTCTCCGTCTTTACTCTCTTGTTCACTCTCTCCTCTTTCTCTGTTTGTACTCTCTTGTTCACTCTCTCTCCTCTTTCTCTCCATCTTTACTCTCTTGTTCACTCTCTCTCCTCTTTCTCTCCATCTTTACTCTCTTGTTCACTCTCTCCTCTTTCTCTCCATCTGTACCCTCTTGTTCACTCTCTCCTCTTTCTCTCCATCTGTACTCTCTTGTTCACTCTCTCCTCTTTCTCTCTGTTTGTACTCTCTTGTTCACTCTCTGTCCTCTTTCTCTCCATCTGTACTCTCTTGTTCACTCTCTCCTCTTTCTCTCCGTCTTTACTCTCTTGTTCATTCTCTCTCTTTCTCCTTCATCTTTGCTCTCTTGTTCACTCTCTACTTTCTCTCTGTCTGTACTTTCTTGTTCACTCTCTCTCCTCTTTCTCTGTCTGTCCTCTTTCATTGTACCTCTACCTCTTCATGCTCTCACTCACTTTCTTTTCTTTCTATAATCATCTTGTCATTCGTTCTCTCCTCTTTTTACCGTTCTCTACTCCCACTTCTCCCGCACTCATTAACTCAGCCTCTCTTTCTTTCTCTCTCCCCTCCCGTCCCCTATACTGTCTCATTCTCCTCCTCTCCCTTCTTTCTTTCTAACTAAACTCTTTCATTCTCCCCTCGTTCATTCAGTCTATACTTTATCCTTCACACGCACCACTTTCTCTCTTATTCTCTCTTATTCTATCTCTTTCTCTCCCTCTTATTCTCAGTGTAACTCTCTCTCTCCCTCCCTCTTATTCACAGTGTAACTCTCTCTCTCTCTCTCTCTCTCTCTGCAGGTGGAGAAATGGCAGTGTTTTTTGTTCTTTTGATTCTCGTCGTGTTTGACTCCCTCACTGAGGCTGCACACAACACAACCGCAGGTAACGTGAAAAGCGTGCGTGATCTTGTTTTGTTTGTGAGCTTCCTGTCTGCTGTGTATGTCTTTATGTGTCTTTTTCGTGAGTGCTCTTCTGCCGTTTGGTAAATCGTTCTGTGTATTCAAGTGTTAAAATGTAAATGTGTGTTTTTTAGAGGAAGTTCTCATGTGCCTGAGTGTGTGTGTGAGCGAGTGTGGTGGTGTGTGTTGTGTTTGTGAAGCCCCCGTGTTTATATTCCGTTTATGTCTTAGCTGTTATTCACCTCCGGAATCAGTCAGTATCTGCAAATGAAATTTCGATCACGTCGCCTCATCCTCTGTCTAATTGGCTGCTTCCTATCTCAAACATTGCAGGCCTGGCTAGACTGCTTTAGCCCAATTGGAGCAGCTAATGAAACACAATATCAACAGTATTAGGCACCTGAAAGCTGTAATAACCAAATGCATCATTGACTGTGTGATTCATTTGGCCCTTACTGTGTTTCATGGCCTGTTGAACAGTAAAGTGCTCAGGGCTTATACATGATATGAGTGCAAATCTATCCACTTTGATGAAGTTATAGTCCATAACAGTGACTACAGTTGATTTTCTACGGTGTTGGTGTTTATATTACCAACAGCTGTTGTTGATCAGTGTATGCCTTTTACATAGCACTGAACAGGATTGCTGAATAGGACTTCTGAACAGGACTACTGAACAGGACTATTGAATAGGACTACATTTATGCCCTGTACATAGCACTGAACAGGACTACTGAACAGGACTACTGAACAGGTCTACTGAATAGGACTACATTTATGCCTTATACATAGCACTGAACAGGTCTACTGAATAGGACTTCTGAACAGGACTACTGAACAGGTCTACTGAATAGGACTACATTTATGCCCTGTACATAGCACTGAACAGGACTACTGAATAGGACTTCTGAACAGGACTATTGAATAGGACTTCATTTATGCCTTTGACATAGCACTGAATAGGACTATAGAATGGGACTACTAAAATAATATGAGTGAATAGGAGTACTGTGTAGGACTATTGAACAGGACTACTGAATAGGACTACCACACAGGACTACTGAATAGGACCACTGAATAGGACTGCTGAATAGGATTACTGTGTAGGATTACTGTATATGACCACAAAATAGTACCACTGAATAGGAATACTGAATAGGACTGCATTTATGCCTTTTACATAGCACTGACTGGGACTGCTGAACAAGACTGCTGAGTAACACTACTGAAAAGGACTACTGAATAAGACTACTTAATAAGACTGTGGAGTAAGGCTACTGAATAGGACTGCTGAACAAGACTACGGAATAAGACTGCTTAGTAAGGCTGCTGAAGAAGACGGCTGAAAAGAACTGCTAAACATGACAACGTTTATGCTTTTTCACAGCCCTGACTGCTACTGACTACTCAGTAGGACTATCGAATAGAACTTAATTTATGCTTTACACATAGCATTGAATAGGATGGAGCTTAGGTCAGTGTTCATGCTATGTTTTCTGAATTAAATACGCATTCACATCATCCAAATGTGTATCACACATCATCACTGTCAAACAAAATCTCATATCTCAGAAATGCTAACTTTTCAGGAGAGGGGATAACCATTCTTAACTTTTAATGGAAGTTATTGTAAAGAGATTTTTTAATTCAAAGTCATTTTGGACTGAGTCATTCATCATGAAATAACAAGGTTTGTCCTGAGATGATATATTGCAGTATATTACATCAGCAGAATAATTCTCAAAAGTAAGTACAAAGACAAATTGATGTCGATGTATGTACTTTATTCATTTGGATATTCATATATCATACACTAAAACAACACACTGAAACATGAATGCTCACACACACACACACCTACACGCTCCAGCTGGCCTCTACTGGCCCCCGTTGCCGGATTTGATGATTACTGTAATTAGCTGGTGACACTGAAGGTGAACTAGGCTGTAATAACAGACTAAAGCAGGCCTACTCCCTCACTCTGAAAGAAACCTGAGAGGCCTCGGGGGAGAGCCGACATTTACGCTGGATTGGAAGTCCATTACTGGAATCAAATGTATATGCATGCGAAAAGAACAAGATATTTCAGCAGCCATTCATACACCGTTATTATGTACGGCCCTGCCGCCTGAAACTCATTTTCCCATTGTGCTATTTGGTTTTAGCTGTGTGGGGCATTCCTATGAACTAGAGGGAATGAAATATTGCCTTTCATTCAATTACAGCAGCAGGGATGCAGTGCTGCGGGGATAGCAGTCCTTACCCATTTGGCTGAATGGCTTTTGTAAAAGCCACTGGCTCCTCTGACGGCTGTCACCATTGCTCTAGTGGCTACGAGCTCGGCTGTCATTGAGTTCAAAAGGGAAAGTGCTCCACCTGCTGACCCGTTGCTGCACTACAGTCCTTGCTTTTAGCCCTTTTTTCAAAACAGACAGCCACTCTGAGCTCTGGTTCCAGAAAAGAAAGTCACTCCCACAATTCTCCTCCTCACTTTCTGTCAGGGGAATTCCCTCCGCCATTTTGAAGGGTATTCCGATTGTCAAAAAATGTTAATGGAAGTTTCTACAGGCCCTCAATTGGACTTCAGGCGGTGTCAGATGCAGTTCAGTTTTTTGCCACACAAAATACCCCCATGAAATACACAAGATACATATTTTCAGCTGTTAGCTAGACGTGTGATCATTTAATCATTTGAGTGAATTACATGAGTTCAGTAAACTGGAATCTCTTTAAACTAAACACTAGCCAACATTGTGCTAGCTAACATTGTGCTAGCTAACATTAGCAAATGATTTCAGTGAAGTCAAAGTAAATGCTTGCTATTAACTAGCAAGCATGATAGCAAAGGCCTACAAGTTAGCTGAGTGCAGCTAGGAGCCAGCTTGGGGGTAATTTGTCAGGCTACATGTTGAAATCAGAGTTGAGAAGATTTAATATGACGTTTCTATATTTGAACACTTATCTAGTGTGAGAAAATAAAAAAAAAATTGAAAGGCATGCAAACATGCTTGTTTGTTGCCTGTGTTTCACTGGGACTAGCCTTCGACTCTGTGTGCACCTTTGCTCTGGAAAACTAAACTGCATTTTAGTGATATGCAAAGCAAACACACTTTTACAAGGGAAGCAGTTTGCTTTGCAGTGATGAAAATGCAACGATAATCCACACTGAGCTCTCATGCTCCAGTACTTCGATTGAGCTAGTTTTGCGTAATGATACTGTAGCGTCCTGCTGCTGGCTAGCGTGGGCACCGAGAGACCCTGGAGGCTCATGGTATGCACATGTCCTCCTAAAAAAGGAACTGTTTGGGAACTGTGTAGGTTTTGCGTGTGTGGCTGACTGTGACCTCCCCTTGAGTTCAGTGTTCTGTATGTGCCTTCGCTGCTGGTTTGTTCAATAAAGAGCACTCCTCACAGCAGAATCATGCCCCCCCTGTATTTCTTCTTCTGCTGATACTACACTGGTGTCAGAAGTGGGACATCCTCCCCCTGTGGGTGAGAAGGGCACTACGTCAAACTTGAAGGTGGACGGCTAGAAGAGCAGAGCCTAGTGAAAGACTGTGACAACGGGGACGATGCTGCAAAGCTCCATGTGAAAGATGGCCTGGCAAGGCTCAATGGTGTGGTGAGATTGGAGGCTGGAGCAGGTGCCCAACGATGGGGCCAGCACAAGAAGCTTTGGTGCCGAATGAGAGGCTGGTGCAAGTGAAAACAAAAGCGAAACCATCTAAATCTTTAGCACGGGAGCACTGCGGCGAGCAGCAGAGCAGTTGGTGAGTCAGCACTGCAAGGGAGAGGACATTGCTCTTGGTGGCGCTGCGGGCATGGGCCGGCGGGTAGACAGGTGCTGTCTGAGGAGGCTCGGCGGAGGCCATGGGCAGTGGGTCAAGTGTGGTGTGGACTACAGACGGCTCATCACGCTCACCACCATGAGCTCTGTGATATCTCTACTGTGGCCAGCATTTTTAGGGCTTATCACACAGCTGGAAAATGACCATTGTCCAGCTCAGGTCAGTAACCAGTGGTGGAGCCACGGGGATGCCCGGGACAGCGTTGTTGGCGCGTTGGTTGGCGATTAGACTGGAAGGGACGGGGCGAGCACTGTTGTTGTTGCCCCCACCCCTAGCAGTGCAGGGATGCGGTGCGCTGTGGGTCTACAATATGCCAGAGGAGCCGTGGCAGCAGGGGCGTGGCCCCAGGAGAGGACTGGGTGTGCTTGCTGCCGAGGAGCAAGTGCCCCACGGCATTTGTTCTAGCAGCATGGTGCATACCTAAGGACGTGGATCAAGATGAAAGGTCGCGGGCTATGTAGCGTCCTGCTACTGGCTGATGTTGGCAGAGACTCTGAAGGTGTGCCTAGGCAGATGGCCAGAGGCAAAGGCTCATGGTATGCATGAGCCCTCCTAACAAGGGACTGTTTGTGTTATTTTATGTTGGTTGTTGTTAGTTTAAGTTGAAAATGTGTTACTTGTGTAGTTCAGGGGCGACACGGTGGTGCAGTGGGTATCGCTGTCGCCTCACAGCAAGAATGGCCTGGGTTCGATTCCCAGCCGGGCGACCAGGGTCATTTCTGTGTGGAGTTTGCATGTTCTCCCCGTGTCTGCGTGGGTTTCCTCTGGGTACTCCGGTTTCCAGGTGTGATTGTGTATGTCTGTCTGTCTGCCCTGCGATAGACTGGTGACCTGTCCAGGGTGTATCCTGCCTTCTGCCCGATGACAGCTGGGATAGGCTCCAGCACCCCACCGTGACCCAGAAGGATAAGCAGTTTAGATGATGTATGTGTGTTTGTGTGTGTGTGTAGTTTAGTGTCAGGGGCTGTGGGTTTTGTGTGCGATGGGGGTCACTGTCAGGGTGTGGCTGTTCTGTATGTACTCTTTGCAGCAGAACCATGGCCACCCTGTGTATCTTTTTCTGCTGAGGTTACAATACATAACATTTTAGCCTATATAACGCAAACCATGCACCACATGTTTTTCCAAAAAGAATGAAAAGACGTGCACAGGCTATGGCCATATACACACACTTGTGGGCACCGAAGCAGTACTGCAACTGATGAAGAAATCTGCTGACTGTGGCAGTTAGTATGACTCTCCTTACCTTCACTGTTTAGTTCTGAACTTTTTTTTGTTCTTTGAAAAGAATAAAACAGTAGTCCATGTTTAAATGGCTAACCAGAAGTAGTCCACTATGAAACTTGTGATAAATCAGTGTTTTAGGGCGTCAGTTAAGTAGGCTAATACTGGACTGATAAGGGCCCAGTTTCCCAAAATCATCTTAGTATTAAGATAATCTTAACTGGTAGAGAGAGTGTTCACTGTGAAGGTCACTCTACCATTTAAGAATCATTGTGCTTTGTGCTACTTTCTTTTACAGTTACAGACTGTAGTTCATGTTTCTGCATACTTTGTTAGCCCCCTTTTACTCTGTTCTTCAATGGTCAGGACCCCCACAGGACCACCACACAGCAGGTACTATTTGGGTGGCGGATCATTCTCAGCACTGCAGTAACACTGACGTGGTGGTGTTGGTGTGTTAGTGTGTGTTGCGCTGGCATGAGTGGATCAGACACAGCAGTGCTGCTGGAGTTTTTAAACACCTCAGTGTCACTGCTGGACTGAGAATAGTCCACCAACCAAAAATATCCAGCCAAAAGTATCCTGTGGGCAGCGTCCTGTGACCACTGATGAAGGACTAGAGGATGACCAACACAAACTGTGCAGCAGCAGATGAGCTATCATCTCTGACTTTACATCTACAAGGTGGACTGACAAGGTAGGAGTGTCTAATAGAGTGGACAGTGAGTGGACACAGTGTTTAAAAACTCCAGCAGCACTGCTGTGTCTGATCCATTCGTACCAGCACAACACACACTAATACACCAACACCACGTCAGTGTTACTGAATGTGCTGAGAATGATCCACCAACCAAATTATACCTGCTCTGTGGTGGCCCTGTGGGGGTACTGACCATTGAAGAACAGAAGGTCCTGATCATTGAAGAACAGAGTAAAAGGAGGATAACAAAGTATGCAGAGAAACAGATGAACTGCAGTCTGTAATTGTAGGACCCGTATATATGGTGAAGATACAAAGGGTGGAGGAGGAGTCAGAATAAAGTGGACAGACTGGTCAGCGGCTGCTCTAATGCATTATTATACTATCTGCTGTGTGTTTTCTCTCAGGCTGTGCTATCATTCGCCCACCCAGAGACGGAGGGATTAGATACAGAGGACTGACGCAAGAACAGGTACTGTTTGAAATAAACCATAGTTGATAAAGGTGGAATCACCTTTCAGTATTTTGAAATTAGTGTTCAGCAGTGTGTAATAATATACCCAGTGTGGCAGCATTCTAATGTAGAGCTAGTGCCCTTCATAGCTTTCAAATACTTAGTGGGAAGCTGTAGGAAATGTTAGATGTGTTCAAAATATTGAACAGAGCTGTAAGTGATTCTAAAATGGCTGAGAAAACTGATTGTTGAGAATGGAATAATAAAATGAATACTCAGAGTGGCTCATATTTCAGAAGTAGTGATATTTATCATTAATGATGTCTTGTTATTCCTAAAATCCTTGAAATATTGGATATATTTTGGTGTGTAGTTTACAATATATAATGCTTTAAATGTCCAGGATAATTACATAGTATGATATTGTTAATAATATCAAATTAATAATAATATTATTAGGATAATATTATGTTGTTATTATTACATAATAAGGCTTATTATTTATTAACTACATGGAAAACAGTACAAACTAGCTGAGTTATTTTTACATTATAGGAGTGAGCAGTGGACACCTGGACCTGCTAGCAGCTCCTGGCCATTTAAAGGGTTAGAGCTATAGTATACAAGTTATACCAATCATGAATTTTTATGGATTCTGATGAATATTTCACAGCCTAGCTGGCTTTTTTGACTGGTAATGTTACTTTACAGTTGGACTGTAAAGAAATCAGAATCAGAATCCATAAAAATATTCTGTATAACTATTATCTGTATAACTTATACAGTGTAGGTCTAACCCTTATATATATCACTGCTGTCAGAACAAAACCTCGTATCTCCATTTTTATCGTTTTTGAGTTTTTGACATAATTTGAAAATGCCTGATGCCCTTTACGTCGTGTGGACATTTAATGATAAATGGACCAAAGAAATCGCCCAAAATTACTTGGACAAGAAGTCTGGTTCCATTGACTTACATTAAAAGTAAAGTATGTTTTTTCCTTCTCCTGTAAAGTTACCATTTTGGAGATGAGGTTTTGTTCCGACAGCAGTGATATATATTACTTGCTCTCTCTCTCTCTCTCTCTCTCTATATATATATATATATATATATATATATATATATATATATATTTATTTCAGTGATATTAATATCACTGAAAACCTTTGAAGGGTAGCCTGAGTGTTTATTAATCTTTGTGATGTGTATGTCTGTGTATGAGTGTCAGTATGCAGGATATGTGTGTTATGTTCTGACTCTCTCTCTGTTATTTCTCTCTCTCCGTAGATCCGCAGTGTGCAGGTTCTGCCGGTGGATTATGAGATTGAATACATCTGCAGAGGAAACAGGGTCATCGTGGGACCAAAGGTCAGGAAGTGCCTGCCCAATGGCACCTGGACTGACCTCAGCCACCGCAGCAAGTGCTGTAAGTTCTCTCTGTTTCTATCTCTGTACTGCTGCCTCTCTCTCTCTCTCCTCTCTCCCTTTTACAGTCCCATTCAGAGATTTATGAACTGTGTCGAGAGCGTAATGGTGCATTTAAGGAAATTCTGCTTATTATAAATGACCTTTACACTCTACGTTCTATTAATATGTTATATTTTAATGATCCTACAAGGAAAACTTATTTTGCTGCCTAACTATACCCAGTCTGGGAGCAATGGGGGGTGCCCAAGGGTGCAACCTGGAATGCCTGGTCAGTCTGGCCTTCTGCTAGCTGGCTCGCTTCTTTAAAATGAAGGAACCTTTTTGCTTGATATGTGTACAGCTTTTTAGTAATATTTGTATTATATATATATATGGCTGTTCCAGTGTAAGATGCAGATTTCTGCATTACTGTGTGTTGAGGTGTATTTGTATTTTCTTATAGGCAATTTTCACACATTAGTGAAATAAAATTTCTATTCTGTTGGAGCGGAATGATGACTTTAAATGAGAAATTGGATAATTCCAGAGAATTATCAAGAATTAAACAAGATTTTACGGTACACCAGATAACTTTAGTCAAAAGTGACTGTCCAATTTAACTGACCTCTCCTCTTATTGGACAGACTCGAATTGGGGCATTTTTGTATTTGATCAGCCAAGACATGTTTAGTGTCACAACTTTGCTTCTTTAGTTTTGCGGTGTAGCTCTCAGGCTAATGTAGCTAACGAGCAATGGAAGTGTATACCCCACCAGTTAGCATCATGTAAGCTGCATGCCTTTCAAACTGTTTTAAGTTGTTAAGCAATCCAAGATGCTTCTGCTTTTGTGGTTTCTGGCATTGTGCTTACTCACATTTTGAGGTATGATAGAGAATCTTTATTTGTTTTTTCATTCATTGATTTATTTATTTATTTATTTATTTATTTATTTTTCATATTATTATTCTTGTTTTAATTATGATTATTTTCTTATTTCCTTTTTCGATCTTATCCTTCTTTTGTTTTATATATATCTTCTTTTGATTTTATTAACTTTTACATTTTAGTTACGCTTTAATTATTGTTTTATATTTTCTACTGTTTTACTGTATACATGCCTGATTTGAGTCATTTTTATTATTAAATTTACTTTTATTATTTGATATGTTCTTACACACTATCAATTTCTTCTTCCTGTATCAACTCAGCGACATTGTGAATGAGGCTCACTGTGATAGGGGTGGGCAATATGATAATATTTATCATCATTGTGGTAAATTATGCCACAAATCACTTTTCCGAGCACACTGTAAATATCGTACAGGAAGAACACTGACCACCTGCATGTTTCATTAAAAGAGAGCATAATTAGTCCTGTTTAACTGGATTTAGTGCAGTGCCGACTGAGAAACGTTAAATAAGAACGATTGGATTTATATTTTTTGATCATATATTTTAAACCTGACACTATTTGGGGCTTTTTTTTCTGTTCCAACTGATAAAACCTCAGAAAAACTAAATATCATGAAAGTATCATTGTGTTACATTTGAAGCATTTAAAACATGTTTATGAAGGATAAGATGTATTTCCTGTGTACCACTCAGTATGTCCATCATTAAGTGCAGCTTCTGTTTGAATCTGAGGTTTGCGTTGCTTCGGAGGATGTGTAAGTGTTCAGAGAGTGAGTAAAATATTAAAGACTTAAAAACACCACAGGCTGATGAGTGTGTGTGGGTTTTTCACAGCACTGTATGCTTTATGGACCTGTTAAACACAGAGCACTGGGGTTAACGACACTACTTTTCACGCTTTTGAGTGAGATCACACTTGGTGTCAGTGAGATTCCCTGTGAAAGCAGAGGAGTGCCACCCATTTACACTGTTCACACCCGCTACACTATCTGCCATATTCTGACCAAAAAATGGCAATTTTTTTGTTGTTTTTTTTTTAAGGTGATTTGAAGGACACGTTTCAGCTTTGCACTCCTACCATATAGACAGTATGTCCAAAAATATCAAGACAGTAGTAGTGGACAGTATGGGGAACAATTTATATCATGCTGTAATTAAAATTTTTGAGGTTTTGGGATTAAGGCCCAGTCCCATTTCTTATTTTTACTCCTACCCCTTGTTTTTGAGGGTCACCTTGTCCCTTGAAACTGAGTTACAAGCGGTAGTGGTTGAAATCTTCCCTACGAAATGAGACCCTCAAATAAAAAGAACATTACTTCATTAACAGCTACTAGCGCTGCTCTGCAGGAAACCCTGCCAGTCTGCAGTGATAGCAGAGGAGGGTAAAGTTCAGCTCCTCACTGCTGGGCTTTAGTTACATTTAGGGAATCATATGCCTTCAAAGGGGGGGGGCAATTATTTATTATCACCCACTCCTAATTCTTTGGTGATGTGAAGCTTAAGTCAGATATTTGCCAGCTTCTTGTTCGAATTTTCCCGTTCCACCTTAAATGGAGCAGCAGTTCTGATGCCTGACGTGCCAGAATGTAACTGCTGCACCATTTAAGGTGGAACTGGAAATTAAGCTGTCTAGCTACCGGGACATTAGGAAACTACTAGCGATTTTTTATGCTTGTTATGAAGAAAAGGACCATAACACACTGAAACACATTAAACTAAGACAATACAATATTTATCATAATTTTCTAAAGAGAAAATTCTCACATTTGTGGGTTTCTTTGGTCGCTCGCGCAGCCGTCCTGCCAGTTTTTCTTTTTTTCTCATAACACTCCATTTGGTGTGGCTTCTGAAAAACCTCCGTTTGCAGGGCCATGTAGTCCTAACACTTCGCCTCCCCCTCTATCTCAACAAAAATCGGGACACGTTACCCCTAGACGTGAACACGCAAAACAAAGGGGTAGGGCTAAGTGGTAGGGACAAGGGGTGAAATGGGATCGCACCTAAATCTCTAAGCTTCTAAAGCATCTGAATGTTGGATGATCAGGTGTCTGAATGGTTTTTGACAGACAGTCTCGTGTAAACGTTTGGGCGGCCCTGGTCAAATGACTTTTTGTTGATTTTCTGAAAATAAGTGAACACATCCTCTACAGAGAACACACTTCTCCCATTTTAAATGCACAATTACTATTTATTTGCTGAATTTAACATAGTGGAATAGAACAAAACAGAAATTGTGGCCTGTGCAGAAGCTACGGCTCATTGTATGTTTATATTTTATGTTTTCCCAATATGTTAAACTCAGAAAATAAATAGAAATTGTGCACTAAAATTAATAGACATCAAGATACCATATTTAAGTGTGTTCTCTGTAGAGGATGTGGCAGCTTATTTTCACTTAGAGAATCAACAAAATGCATCCAACTGTATGTCAGAAAGTATTCAACCACCTGATCATTTAGATGTATTACATTAAATTTGTAATTTGACCACGGGGTATTTTTTTTGCACATGACTGTACAGTGTCCATTCCTCTTGACCTCCTTTATCTTTGTGTGTCTGTATCAGTGTTGCCCTGTCCGAAGGTGCAGACGTCTTTGGAGAACGGCCGAGTGGTGGTGTCTCCTCCAGGGCCAGCGGTTGAAGGGACGGTGCTGCATTACAGCTGCCTGACCGGCTTCATCCTGGAGGGCAGGAACAGCACCCAGTGCACCAAGCTGGGCAAATGGGACTCCCCCAAACCCACCTGCCGCTGTGAGTGAGTCTGTGTGTGCATGTGTTTGTTTTTGTTTTTATTTTCAGGACAAAAATGACATCTTTCAGTGTCATGGCTCACTAAAAAACGGCCCTGATTTTGTAAAGTGCCTCATAATTTTTAAAGGGGAATTCCACCAGTGTTGCATAATTCAGTCACTGAGACGTAAACACAGTCATTCGGAGTGGTTTGATGTGAAATAGTTCACTGTAGAGAAACATAGTGACTCTGATTTCTTTACAGTGGTGGTGACAGAAACCAGGAGGTGCAAAATATAGCCTGTTTATTTACTGCCACACCACCACTTTAACTGCATCTTTGCACTCACTACGCTGTTACTGTACTTTATGTCCTAGCATTATTACACTATTCACATTTGTGTGGTCTACTACTGCACTATTTGTATTTGCACAGACAGTTACTCTACATTTTGTTACTCTGCATACTTATATTTTTACATATGCTGCTCTGACAGTATATACTACCTACATTTGCATTCTCTCCACTCACTCTGTATATATGTATATTATATTTGTATTTGCAACATCTATTTTTCCACTGTACCGTCCCGAATTGTACATATTGTAGCTGTCGATTGTCGGTTACTCGATTACTTTCTTGATGTGTAAATGTGGTTAGAATCTGGTTAGATGCTAGCTATATGTCATTGGCTCTGTTCCTGTACTTTGCCCAATGACAATAAAGTTGAATCTAATCTAATCTAATCAGGCAGCGAACTTCTATCCATTTCATGTAGTAATGTTCTGTGAAGGAGCTTTTAGAGGCGTTAAACTCTTGAGACGTCTGGCTCCTTACTAAGTTTCTCTAGAATGGAGCATTTCACATCAAACAACTCGGAATTACTTAGTTCTATTCAATTATGCAGAGATTTTGAAAAATCAGTGGAGTTCCCCTTTAAAACTGAAAGAGCACAACTCCGTGGATTACTGAGGTCAAAGTTGGGTTTAGTATTAATCTTAGAAAAATGTTATTACGTGTAAGTACTTACATACAGCTGCTGTTGGAACAAAACCTCGTCTCTCCATTTTCTGTCATTTTTCAGTTTATGACATGGTTTGAAAGTGCCTGCTGTCCTTTACATTGTGTGTACATTTTATGATGAATGGAACAAAACAAATGGGCCAAAATGCATTGGAAAAAAGTCTGGTTCCATTGACTTACATTGAAAGTAAAGTGTGTTTTTTCCTTCTCCTGTAAAGTTACCATTTTGGAGATGTGAGGTTTTGTTCTGACAGCAGCGAAATGTACAATACATAGGAAATGTAATATTAATGAATAGAAGTAGCGACATGGACATGTGAATGATATCCTGTGTGTGTGTGTGTGTGTGTGTGTGTGTGTGTGCATGTGCATATGTATGTGTTTCAACTGTACGACTAACTTGTTATTTCTTTCCCTCTTTCTTTTCCATTGCAGATGACAGACATCACACAGGTAAGAATAAAGCCTTATCCATTCTTTGCTCTGTCTTTTGCTAACAGCCAGGCTGCTGAGAGCAGTTACACATGCTTTCTCACTCTTACTGGCCAGTTTATTGGAAACCCTTCTCTTGTAGATCCATTCACAGACTATAGCTCATATATTGATGTACAGTTAGTGCTAATCATCCTGTAGTCTTTCGTCAGTGGTCAGTTTCTGACCATAAACTCCACTCTTGTCTGAATATTTTTGGGTAGTGGTCCGTTTTCAACTTAACCATGACACTGCTGAACCCCAGCACCACCACTGTGTCTGATACACTTGTACCAGAAACACACACACTACCATGTCAGTGCCACTGCTGTGTTGAGAATGAACCACCACCCAAATAATATCTGGACAACACCGGTCCTGTGGTCAGAAACTGATAAAAGGGCGCTGATAAACTGTGCAGCAACAGTTGGACTACAGTTTGTAATTGTACACCTCTATAGTGGCCTGTAAGGTGATTGGAGCTCATAAAGTGGACAGTGAGTGGAAGAACATAGTTTCTAATGAAGTGAATGGTAAGTATAAATAAGTCTAAATTAAAACAAGTAACTAAAGCTCCTGCTGATGGTCCTCTCTGACAAAAGGGGGCAGTGTTGAATTTTAATGTACTAACTTTCCTTCAAAATAGGTTGCTGATTGTAGGGGGCAGCACAACATCACAAAAGAGCATTTTCATTCCTCCGTCCAGTGGAGGCAGTGTTGTTCAAATCACAACTATTCAGTTTCTCTTTACGGACAAGGTGGTGCTAAAATTCATGTGTGGGGTGCAGAGGCAGAGTGCAGTAAGGGTGATTTGCCACTGTGATCAGTATTGAGCAAATGGATATGAACAGATAACAAAAAGGTCTAATAGGGAGAACCAGAGCCGGTTTATGGGGAGCCACTGACCATTTCTCCCAGTTATATTAAAAACATGACTGCAGAATGATAGAGGGTGAAAGTGAGTCAGTCATCAATGAATGGGGGTCAGTGAAGCTAAAAGACTGTAAACAAAACAATTAAACATGTTTCTAGCCAGTTGTGCAGGAATCTTCCTTTAATTTTGGAGAGGAGAAGGATGTATTCCATTAAGAATCAATGAAAACGTACCCGTTTTTCTACAGCAAACAGGCTTTGGGCAGTATTGGCTAACAAAGCTGGTACTGCATGCTGATTGGTTGACATTAGTACTACTGAGTGCTGATTGGTTGGCATTACTGCCACTGAGAGCTGATTGGTTGCCATTACTGCTACTGAGTGCCGATTGGTTGGCATTACTATTACTAGGTGCTAATTGGTTAGCATTACTGCTACTGAGTGCTGATTGGTTGGCATTACTGCTACTGAGTGCCGATTGGTGAACATTGCTGCTACTCAGTCCTGATTGGTTGACATACCTGGTACTAAGTGCTGATTGGTTAGCATTACTGCTACTGAGTGCTGATTCGTAGGGAGGCTTTGTGCAACACAGAATACAATGAAATGTACCAGCACTGCACTAAAGATAATCACAAAGGGTTCTTTAAGTGATGCCACAGAAAAACCTCTTTTTCAGTGTGAAAACATTTTGAATAACCTTCAGATAATGTAATGGTTCCATACCATTTTATGGGATCTTCATAGAGCCTTTACGTTATGTACTCACATTGTACAAAAATGGTTCTCCAAGGAATTTTTTTTTCAGGAATGAAAAGTGGTTCTTTTATGGCGTCACTCAAAAAACCCTTTTTGAAACCTTTTTTTTGAGATGTTGAACCACTTTACTCAGCCAATGAGCAGGTGAGCTTGCCAGCTAATGAACTCAATAGCAGTGATGCCAAAATTCTTCTGCCTAAAACTTTTTTTGCTGTAGAGAAATGGAAAACACTGGTTTTATGTAATACACCTTTCTACTGTCCCAGAATTAAAGTAACTCCTGCATAAAAGCCTAGAAATGTACAGTGATGTTTAAAAGTCAGAGACCACCCTTTCATTTGTTTAATTTCCAGTCAAAATGGCATTTAAGTACAAGTTATTCATTTCTCATGAGAGATTTCTGATGAGGTTACATATAAGGAGGAGATGCAACGTGACAAAACTGGAAAAAAACTAAGGAAGGTGAAAGTCAAAGGAAAATAAGTGAAAAATAGGAGTTTCCAAAACTGGAGTTCAACAAATGATTGAAAGCTACAGAGAAAATGGGGCTCCTAACAACCACCTGGAAGACCTGATAGACACCAAAACTGCCCCCATCAGATAAACAGCAATTAAACCTTTCACCTTTCTGTGGGTCTGAAAGGATGTGTAGCTGTCAAGAAGAACCTCACTGAGAAAAGGAGACGGACACACAAGAAGAACATTTGAACAGTTGAAGCAGAAAATGCAACCGACTTCTAAGACTGAACTTCGGAGGTGTGGAAACATCATCATCATCATCATCGTCGTCGTTAACCGCTTAGTCCAGCTAGGGTCGCAGTGTGTGGAAACATATCCTATCCTAAAAATATTTATTTGAGAAACTGAAAGTGAAAGTCTCCTGAAAAGAATGGAAGCTGTAATAAAGGTAAAGAGTGAAAACATTAAATACTGAATGTGATATTATACTTAGTTGTTGAGGCCTCTGTATAATTTTCTGCTAAATATATGTTTTCTAATATTTAAATCTTATATATATATATATATATATATATATATAATGGCCATTCTGACTAGAAAGTAAATGAGTGCTGTCTGACTTTTGCACAGCACTGTTTGGATTGTATTTTAAAACATATTTTTAAGCAGTTTATGTTCCCATTTATGGAGGACTCTTGTGCACATCCTGTACTGTTTTGCAGCCTTTTTTTTCTGACATAGTGGGATGAACAGGACGTGGTCAGGCTCTTCCTAAATTGGCTCGAGAAGGCGTTGTTTCACTTTACACACAAGGTGGTGCTAAAATTCAAGGATATATAGGTTGCAGTGGCATTGCTCTGCCACTGAAGGCAGTATTGAATAAATACATATCCACAGAGAGCCTTAATGCAGGGGTGTCCAATCTTATCTTAAAGGGCCGGTGTGGCTGCAGGTTTTCACTCAAAACGAGCTGAAGCTCACCTGAGTCCACTTGTTTAATGTAGTTTCAGTCTTCAAACTGCTGATCATGTGAGCTCCGGCTTTGCTGGACTGAAAACCTGCAGCCACACCAGCTCTTTGTGGATAAGACTGGACACCCCTGCCTTACTGCATCACAACAGAAGGTGTCAGTAGAAGTCCATGGATGATGGTTCGTCCAGTTTCAGAGGGTTGTTAGTTTGAATATGATGATTGTTAACAGTAGAGGTCGCAGCTGAATGTGTTACTGGAGGAGCCGACGTCTTTCAGTGACGCTGGGAGGCAGTATTATCTCAGGATTGAAGGTGGAGGATATTTCACATATGGCTGCTGCAGATAAACAACCGAATTAACGTGGGCCCTCTAACGTGAAGGCTTGTGACCTTGACAGCATGGGTCGGTTGTCAGGCGAGGCGAATGCGCTGCAGATGCTTGTATTCTGCGCTTTAGCGCGTGTGCTGCACCGCATGCCTCAGTTCCCTCCCCGTGTTTTCTGAGCTGATTAATGACCGTGTCAGTGTCAGAGTGTGCCAGTGACGTCTAAACACAGCCGATGATTATTAAGGCCGTGGTTGGTCGGGCGAGGCGGGGGTGTGTGGGGGGTAAGAGCGAGGGGGGGGTCGACCAGGAGAGAGTGACGAAGGATATCAGGGAGAAGAGAAGGGCAAATATGAATGAGAGAGAAAAAAATAATCACATTTTCCATAACCCAAATATGAAGTACTAAATTAAATAATTAAAAAAAAGAGAAGTGAGGAGAGAGTGAGAGAAGATGTCAAAGAGAAAGAAAGGGTTAGAACTGGTGAGGGAGACAATTATATTAATGAAAATAATTATTATGTGTTGATTAATCGAGACAGATCTTCTGTATTGCTCCTCAAAACACTGTTAGTGTGAAATCCATCTAATGATAAAGCAAAGCTAATGAGTTTCTGTTAATGTCGTATCAAACCTGATATTACCAAACACACAGAAGCAGCCTGGTTATCAGCCGTGTCAAGATGCTTTTCACAAAAGACGCATTTTAACCATCCACACAAAACACAGGGTAACACTTTATTTATTTGGTAGATGCTTGTAGATGCCTTCCAAACCCTAAACCTTACCACAGCCCAAAGCCTAAACCTAACCTTCACCCTGGCCCTAAATCTTTCCATGGTGTTAATCCTAACCCTAACCACAGCCCAAAGCCTAAACCTAACCTTCACCCTGGCTTTAAATCTTTCCATGGTGTTAATCCTAACCCTAACCTCAGCCCAAAGCCTAAACCTAACCTTCACCCTGGCTTTAAATCTTTCAATGGTGTTAATCCTAACCCTAACCTCAGCCCAAAACCTAAACCTGTGAGGAAAACATGCGAGCTAGAACTTAACCATGGTGATAGAGAGAGGGAGAGAAAGATAGAGGGAGTAAGAGAAAAAAGAAAGAAAGAACAAAAGAAAGAAAGATGGGAGAGAGTGATAAATAAAGAAAGATTGAGAGGAGAGGGAAGGAATGGGAGAAAGAAAGAAAGAAAGAAAAAATGTAAGGGAGAGAGGAACAGAAAGAAAGAAAGTAAGAAAGAAAAAGAAAGAAAAGAAAGAAATATGGGAGAGAGTGATAAATAAAGAAAGATTAAGAGGAGAAGGAAGGAATGGGAGAAAGAAGGAAGGAAAGAGAAAGAAAAAAGAAAGAAAGAGTGTAAGGGAGAGAGGGAGAGAAAGAAAGAAAAAAGAAAGAAAGAAAGAAAAAAGAAAGAAAGAGAAGGGGACGGAGTGCGACATAAAGAAAGATGGAGAGGAGAGGGAAGGAGTGGGAGATTGAAAAACAAAAAGAGTGAAGGGGAGAAGGAAAGAGAAAGTCAGAAAATAGGGAATGAGAGGGAGAGAGAAGGAGTGAGGTAGAGAGACAGAGGCAGGGAGAGAGAGAGAGAG